ATTTAGGGGTTGCTCGACATAGAGAGTACGAATAAAATTTCAGAATCAAAAACTTTCTCTCTGAAATTTTAGGAAACCCTAGAATTTTGAGTTTTTATGGCAAACATTATTTCTTTTCGCAAAAATATTTGGGAACCTGTATCAGGATTTCGAACTCTGTCCGTAGAAACAATCAGAGACCTGAAAAGCTGAGAATGTTCTTTAACTATTTTCGCAAATGGCAATAACAGAAGGCAACTAAAAATACAAGATATGGCCACTAGTAATCTAAAACTTTAAAAGTACTTGCATTCTGCTTCGTCAAAGATTAAGCGAGCCTTACTTGTACGTCTATACTAGTGAAAAAAAGTATCGCATAAAAATACATGTTCTTAAGTCGCTACAAACGAAAAAAAAAAAGAATATGTATTTCTTCGAATTCGACTGTTTTCTCTGTAGGAACCTGGCATCATCTTCGATCCGTATTCCTATCCAACGCCGACCAGCTATACACAACCGGGACCAGTAAGTTTTCAGACTTTGCAAAGAGAAATATTCTTTCAACCCTGACTATTATCAATAGGTGGTGTGGAGTGGCTGATGTGTTTCCCTGGTATCAGTCCAAGACACAAGCTACGCTGTCTTCACAGAAAGAGGAAGATTCTTACAAATATCCGAACTATTTTCTGCTTATTTAAACATCTTTTATTATTCTTTATGAATAAATAACAGCGAGAATAAATATAAAACAGAGACTGCATAAAAAAAAAACAAGATAAGATTCCAATTATTTTTCATATATAAAAAAAATAGAGGTCGGTAAGAGTAGATTATTCATGTTTGCATACATGGTCACACGACTTCTGTATACTGCTTGACATAATGCTATATCGTATACTAATATAAGCTCTATTATCTTTGATTGAGTTAAGAGATAAATTATCTCCTAAGTGCAGATATTTTTAATCGAAAATAAAATTGTATTGTGAAAATTAACTATAATTTAAACATCATTAACGACCATAATTATTGAACTTCGACTCGATCTTATGGTGCAAGTATTTTTTTGGAAATAATTAAAAATACAGAAATACGCTGGAAATAGTTTTAAATTTTAAATACCTAAAAGGAGACCGTAAATTGACGAATTTCATCATCAAATTATTGAGGTTAAGTATCGATGATATATTTAAAAACCAACTGATCTTTATTCTTAAAATCTTGAAACGTTATTACAATTAATTGAACATTGTTGTTTAAACACAAATAGACACCTGTACTCATTCTATTCCTATTTACTGTTGTAAATTATAATATAAGATTGAAAAAACTTCTAATCTATTCTATTTTCATATCTGTTATTAAACGACATGAAAACTATGAAGAAAATATTGGATTATCTGTATTTTCAAGTCGTTTAAATAATGAATTCTCACTCTTAGTAATTGAACACATTATAAAATAGAGTGCAACGTGTAGAGCATTCATGTTATCAAAAGCAGGTAATACAGGAAGAACAATACAAATACGGAATTTCTCATCATTTCTAATCAACAAAAGAAACTTTTTACAATGTTATATAAATAAAGAATACTTTATACTTGAAATAATAATTAAAAATTGTATTTTTTTAAAATTAATCTATTTCAATATTTATAAAATGTTTAGCAGCATTAATCATTTGTATATAAGTAGTATGGATCGATGATTCCACTGATTTCATTGTCGCTGACCATGGTCCAACCGAACGAACACACTAAATGCAAAATTTAAGTGAAAATAATTTTTGAGATAAATACATATATCACTAGAACCTTATGAGAATATAACAACTGTTTTCGTATTGCTATTCTAGAAGATCAAGTAAAAAATGATGAATAAATGGTTTTCAAGGTATGTCTAAGAAAACAATGTTTACACGATTAAGTACCAATGGCTACATGGTATTTCACATTTTAATCTCGCAAGGATTCTGTTAACAGCTATTCGATTTAACAACTGATGTAACTGACTGAGTTACTAATTCAGATAATAATCAATCATTTTGGTAATTAAACTAATTAATTATAATAAAAATTTTCATATAGAATGGATTTTATCCGATTCAATAGTCTTCGGTTATGAATGCATTTGACAAAAATCAAGTAAATCATTTTTCTTAGCTAACTTTATGAATATTCCGTCATTGAATGAAATGTCTTGCTACATCTCGAGCTGTTTGACCAAATATAATCAATGCTTCATCATACCATGGCATGTGTGGTACTAATATGCGTGTAATACAATCTATAGTACAGTTAACATTACAAGATTTGACATAAAAGAACAAAACGAATAATCTTTTCCAATAAAATATCAATTTCTTCTATCAATTTCAGGTGTTGAAGTAGTAACTGATTGTTGTTCTTCGAGAATTTTTTCATCATCTTTTCTCACTGTCTAAATAAACCAAACTAGGGTGTGGGTGTGAGCGCGAGTATGAATGTGGGTGTAGTTGCCACTATGGATTGGATGTGGCTGTGGTGGCACCTTTTCTTTTTATCTTTATCCACACCCACACCCGTGCCCTACCCACACCTACACCCCACCCCACCCCACCCACACCATCTAAAGAGCCCAAGGCTCAGTGTCCTTGATACTTTTGGTCAGTATCATATCGAGAAGGAGAACACCACTTGATAATGAATGCTGAAACTTCTCAGAGTTCATAGCAACTAACAAGTATTCGTGAAGATTCATTATTCTACCCTTAGTTATTGACTGTCGGATGGATGCATCATTGCGGTTGTCAAAAGCTATGCCTTTTATTTATCATTGAGATTATATAAACATAGAATATGAAGATTTCGTTTTTTAATAGTCTTGTGGAAGGTTTTGCACTATCTATGTGCTGAAATTGCTCAAGTCGCTGGCGCTCTTTCGAGTATTCATCGTAAGATCACCAAAATCATTACAATAGGTAGCCAGCGCATTGGTGATCGTCAACTGTCTTCCATCAGGCGTAACCGCCCATGTTACGATCTCACCATTGCCTGCAGTCTGTGTGAATGAATAACCAGTTGGATAGAAGACTTTTATCAAAGAATAACCTTCCCCACAGCTTGGACTTCCTCCTCCGATGAGTAATAGGTATGAATCTTGACGCATACCAATAACGATGCCGGTGATGCAACGGCACTTTGTTGCATCGCATTGGCCTGCCATTTTGAATGGGCCCGTCCATGGCCCTGCCGACTGACCTAAGCTTATACTAACTGTCAGCAGAGCAATGAAGCAGCAAAGTAAAAGTGTTTGCATTGTACAGTGAAATTTGCTTGTCAGTAACAGAGGTTCAGTAAGTGATGTCGATTAAACGTACCATTGATGCACGGCTGTTACTTATATACAATTTCTTACTTTCTAGTTTTTTAATCGTTCTATGATTAATCAGCAAGTGGTACTGCGTAATTTCATCTATATTTAGGACTCTCGAGTGAAACTGCGTATGACAATAATATCATGCTGTGAGCAATTCACACTCAAAAAAGGTGTAAAAAAAATAGAACATGAAAAATATTTTACTGCGTAATTTCATCTATATTCAGGACAAGAAGGTAGAAGAGCTGATTGCAATTAAAGCAATCGTTAGCAATCATGAGCAATCAATGGCAATCATCCGTAATCAACGGTAATCACTGGCAATCATCGGCAATCAATAGCAATCAAGATTATTTTTGAAACAAATCTTACAAAATAATTATTTTGCATTAGAGACGAAACGTGCCATTACATCAAGGAATCGGTGGATTAAGACTAGAGTCCGACGTAATCATAGAATCGTAACCAAAGAAAAAAAGATTGTCTGATAATAATTTTCATGTTTGATACGAAAAAAAATACTTTTGATTTGATCCTTTGTATTCAGAATTTTCTCATCTACAAAATGATGTGTAAAATTTGAGGATACGATAACCTACACGAGAGAAAACAACGACACATTTGTCGTGACTAGAACTGATCACAACAAACATACCGTTGTTTTCTCTCGTGTAGATCACCGTATTCTCAAATTTTACACATCATTTTGTAGATGAGAAAATTCTGAATACAAAGGATCAAATCAAAAGTATTTTTTTCATATCAAGCATGAAAATTATTATCAGACAACCGTTTTTCTTTGGTCACGATTCTATGATCACGTCGGACTCTAGTCGAGACACTGTTGAGTAGATGGGCTTTGCTAAGCAGGTAGAGTGGACAATTTATGTTATTTTAATTTTATGTATTTATTGATCAATGAACCGTCACTATTATTAAAAAATAGACTGAGATCGACCAAGATAAGTAAGCTCGGCGTGTAAACTCAAAATTTTAAGCATACTTTTCCATCCAAATTCTGCTCATAAGATTTGAATCCATACTTTCTGATTATATTTAGCCATGAGTTTTCGGACTCTTTCTGATTATATTGCAGCAACTTATTGGGAACTATCTGGACACTATGCCTGCAGCTTTTCTAGGCCTACCTGGACATCATAGCAGTAACTGCATAAGGCAAATCTGGGCATTGTATCTGCAGCTTTTTAAGAGCTATCTAAACACCTTATCAGTAATCTTTTTAGGCCTGCCTAAGTCTACGGCTAAAGTACTTATCCTAATTTTATCATAAGCTTCAACTGATCGCTAAAGCGTTAATATCAAGTTTTACTCTTTCTGTTAACATTTAATTTAATTAAAATTAAATGATTAAGTGATTGGAGTAAAGGTAATACCATTCTATTTCTATATTTTGTGGTCAGGCAAGGTCTTTGTTCAAGAATATAGCTGAGTTTTAAAAAACTCTATCAAAAATGTTCAGACTGGAATAATCTAAATCTCTACAGATGGTTTATGAAAATCTTGAAGTTTGATGTTTTCGACTTCAGAAGATTAACTTGCAATAGATTTAATCATGTTTTACAAAATTTTCGTACGTTATGGAAATAGGTTTACCCTGGATGAAAAACTGAAACTCAAAAATTTCTACCAACCAACTGTAGATTTGGATTGATCGACTCCAAAAATCTGCAGTCAAGTCTTATAAATTGCAGCTATTTTCATCAAATAGACCTCTCCTGACAGAAAAAATTGAAATGGAATAGCATCATTATTACCTCTATCACAGAGTTTTAAGTTAACTATCTTGAGGGTGTGAGGTAGGTGTATGGGTGAGGAAACGACAGCACCCACATCCACAACAATCTTGAATTCGATAGAATTCATTAAATATATGACAATGATTTCATTTCATATTCGTTTAAAAAAAAATAAACATCTACTTGTAACGAGACAAGTACATTATCGATTGTAGACATATAAACATTTGATAAAATTTATATTTTTCAAAATAATATAATGAATATATTTCTTGTCACTCATTAATTTTAAAATTCGTTGTACTTCTCAATAGTTCGATAAGTTAAAATTAATAAGTGAAAAGTAAAAATCGAATTATTTATTAATAAGGTGTTTAAATTTCTTCATGAACTACTAACTTTTCTCAATTGTTTGTATATTTTATTTTCATTTTGATAGAAATGCACTCTAGACATTTCGAATACTTTTCAGATTTCATGTATATAAACTTAAAAATTCTTCTAGTAGCACAACAATGAAAAAACATCATCGTTCAAAGGAAGTCATGAAAGATATCATATAGGGATATGGATCTTGCTTTCGCACCCATATCCTCATTTATGTTATCAAATATAATATATATTTTAATAATATATGCTCAAAAATGATAGACATATGTGACTATCAACATTTTGTTCTTCTATTTATTCTAATACAAATTTATTGTATCTTGTTTTTTTCAATTACGTTTGTGTTTGACATGAAATAAATGATCAAAAACAATTGTTAGATGTTTATCTATTCTAAGTATTTTCAATAGAGTAAACAGATTAGAAGAATTTCGTTGAGAATTATTTGATGATCAATCATACTTTTGTCCATTAATATCCTAATGATCTTTTCATTAGAATTTAATGATTTCGTCGAGGTAAACATTTTTTCATTGGTTTGCTTTTATAATGACAGTAATAGTTATAGATGAAAGGTATTTTATTCTCTAATTCATAAATACCTATTATGAAGTTTTCTATTACAGAAAATAACAATAAACTTATTGATCGTATTTTTGTAGTGTGTTGAAACACAAATTACATCATTTTATAAATCAAAGAATAAATAATAGAAAATACTAACCATTTATTAAATAAAAATGAATGTTTGGTAAAAGTATCATGTTGGATAAATGAGAAACATCAATGAAACTATTATTGAAAATTAGTCTTTTGAACTTTTATTAAGAATCTATTTTGTAGCTAATATTCGAAATTTGTCATTTTCTTCTAAATATCCAATTCGATTGAAACAGGGATGTATTTGATGTACCCTAGTTAAGTCACCAATTTGATCATCCTTAGTCAATATTTCTCTGATATAACAATCAAATCGAGACAAATGATACAATCGATTGATCAGACCATCAGCTAAATCGATAAACGACGTACGATATACAGTTTGTAAATACAAATGCTCAATGTTAGGTGTATAAGTAAGAATATTGTCAATATCATTAAAAGTTAGTTCGGTATAATCACTCCAAAGAGTCAACCGACGAAGTGGATGATTTACTGGCGGAGACAATGTGACAATATTATTATTGTTATACAATATATGAACTTGGAGATGATGAAGTTTAGGACATGAAGTCAGAATGGCTAGAACAGATATTGGTTTACAAGAAAGGATTGATACAAATTCGAGAGAAGGTGATATAGTCCATAAATTACAAGTAGACTCATCGATACAGCCCAAATTAATGTGACGAAGAGATGGAAATTTATTGGAGAACACATCACAAATTAATTGCCGTGGCGGAGTAAATTCAGATCCTAACAAAAAAGATAGATGAGTCAAATTGGGAATAATTTTCGGCTGAATTTGTTTGAGATGTTTTGAGTTTCCATCACATAATATCAATGTATGTAAATTTGTAAATAGACTAAAATCACAATCGATGGATGTTTGAATTATCAATCGATTTATATAAGAAGCATATAATTTCATCAACAATGGATCAATTTTCTCACCGAAAATTAATGATAGATTTTGATAAGTTAGAAAAATATTGTTCAATCGTGAATTGAGTCCCCAAAAAGCATTATATAAATGTTCAATGTTGATGAAAGTGAATAAATAGAAAAATAATTCATTTGGAAGTTCTTCAAGTGTGGTACATACACCTAAAATATATTTGTACAACAAAATATTGCTCTGATCAATTCTAACGTATTGGAAATATTTTTTTTCTAAAGCATGGCGCTATTCATAATAGAATGTTCAATACTATTTTAATCATGATTTTAGACATTATCTTCATTTAATAGTACATTTTACGGAAAGGAAAAAAAGAGTGAAGTTTACCAGTTGAAGATATTTTCATGGTTTTTTTTAATGCAAGGGTAGTTTTCTCGATTTTTGGGATTACTGAAGAACGACTCATCAGAAAAATTTGAAATTTTTAGAATAGGGAGATCTTAATGAGTAGAGCAAAAGTTGTTATCGATTCAAAGTTTCCAGATATTATTTTCTATGAGACATTGGGCGTACAATGACGAAAAATCATTCCCTCATTTCTTCGAGCTACTGTGTTTGATCGAACTGAAAATTTGTTTTACAAACACTAGACACTGTTTGGGATTGGTATCGTTTTTTCTGTCCTTCGAATAAAAAAAGCCAAAATATCGCATGTTACTTTGAAGCTTGGTCGGACGTACTTAGTTGAAGACACGAAGATGTTTCTCCATTTTTTTCATGAAAATGTTGATTTGAAAAACATGCGAAATAATGTACACTTGTCTCTAATTTGATTTCTTCTCAAATTTTTTTAACTTTTAAAGACAAGTTTTAGATCTTAAAATATACTCAGTAGATAGATACTACTGCTGACTATACAATGACTACAAAAAACAACAATTTTAGGTCACGACACAAGCGAGAGGGTATCCTTAAAGATTTTAGTCTTTTGCTGGTAATGACATGTATTTGTAACTTACTGTCTTCAATGTATTGGATAGCGTCAGCGTTCTGCCTCACTTGGGTATCATTATTTGCATCCGGAATAGTAATTTGGACTTGTATTGTATCTGTTTTCAGCTTCTAAAAAAAAATAAATATATTGTCAGAATTCAATCATATACCTAAGATTTTACATCTAATGAAGATATAGATTTGTCATAAGCAAAATCTAGATTAGAATTTGTTGTTGAATCCAAAACATTTGGTATTTTTCTAATGAACAAATTAGACAATGTATTGAAAACGTTACTGATTACTGATGAAACTGAATGTGTCTTCAACTTTTCACAATCACTTCGTGAACCTGAAAATGAATGAAATTCTGTTTAAACAATGTTCAATGCATAATAACAACACACCTTTAAAAATAATTTGTCCTTTTCGATATTGTCCGTTTATTTCGATAAAACAAACATCATTTACATTAGTAAATTCAGGTGATTTGAAAATTGCTGATTGAGGTACCGTAGAAATAATGTTGCTGTTTTCCCACTGTACAGCACAAAAACTTTCATTACCAACAGAAATTCCATGTGTATCTGTATTAGAGTTCGATGCTACAATTAAATCAATAATGAAAGTAATAATTGGACTATAAGAAATGGTTAGATGTATGTTAGTTACTCGATGTAGCATATATAGGTTTCAAATGTTGAACAGTTGGAAGATCACTATGCAAAAGCTTTTCATTAGATCTGTAATGGAAATATGTAGCTGGACTACAGACAAGCATTTGAACTGGAAGATGTCGATCAGTCTTGAAACGTCTGTCAAGTTGATTGGGTGTATCTTTTTCAATATTAACGTCATTTAGTGCAATGATCCGATCAAAATTTTTGATGCCTGCTCGATACGCCAGACTCGATTTCCAATCACCATAAAATTCAATATAATGAAAACGTTCTTTTCGATGATAACGTAGAAAAATGCCTAACTTCTGTTGTGGAATCGCACGTTGCATTGTACATAATCGAATATCATCTTTTTCGTAAATCAAACTAATGTTTTCATCAATAGATGCTGAATCTGTATAAAAAAATAACAAAATTCATCGTCATACAGTCAATAACCGTATTGTCCTTTAAAAAAGTGTTCTTTGAAAATAAATCCTAATAGATTTATCGAGATTAAATAATATTTATTAAATGACTTAGCTCTCTTATTCTTTACTCAATACATTTATCAAGCTTGTTCTAAATCAATTCTGAAAATTTTTATTATATTATCCGATTTAACAGAATAACTGAGTTGTCATACTAAATTTATATCGCACTGTTCATATGTATAAAATCCCGAAGGCTTAACAATTACAAGATTATACAAATGGTAAATCTTTTGAAAGGAATCCTCTTTCCCGAGGTTTCTCAGAAGCGAATTGACAAAAATTATTAGAGATTCAACATGTCTCAAGGCTTTTCTTTCGAAAAAATAAGAGACACAAGACTATCTTTTAGGGCTGAAATTTTATTGTAACAACTAGACTAAAATCTGACTATGCACTATTTCTGAAAAATATTTTTTCTTGAAACTCAGTAAAAATCAACATGTTGAAGACACTTTTAGACAACTTCAAAACTTTTTTGTTTTTAAAATCTAATTTTTCAGAAAAATGCAAAAAGAAGTTGCAAAATCGACATCTTTAAAACTTCTTTTAGATACAAAGTAATTTTTGTCTCCTTAAAATCTACTCATTCGATAGAAGACATTTAAATATATATATATATATATATATCGAACATAAAAATAAAAAACTGAAAATCTTTGATTGAGAGAAAGAGATTCTCTTAAGGATTAGAACTTTAATTCGTCAATAAAAAAATAATAATTGACATAGCGAACGTTAATTATCATTATTTTGTAATATCTATTTCTATTTTTCTGCGCCCTTTACGAAGCTGCGAGTTCACGTTCTTGTGGACCCGGATGCGACAAAAAAATGAAACTTTGGACCTGGGCTCGGTCGGATTTGAATCTGGAACGACCCGCAGCTCCCTGATCCCTTTCCCTCCCGAAAAAAAATTTTGGAAAGCGATGCTTTTATTTACCATAATGCTCTATAATCCATGTTTGAAACATTTTGGGTGGATCAATTCCCAATCCAAACATTTGTTTAATATTACCTCGATTATTAAGATATTCAATCACACGGCCAAAGTCTGTGACATTAATACTTTTGTCTGATTTTAAAGCTTCTGCATCAGCAACTTTACTAAGAGGAACAAGAACATAGTACCATGCTGGTATTTCTTTATGTTGACCACGAAAGATGTATACAGATTCGCCGAATATTTGTTCTGTTATAATTGTTTTAGGTCTATTTTCATAGCTTGTAAGTGAATTCTGCAAAAATATAGTAAAAAATTAATTAACACCTTTTGGCTTATATAAACGATAAAACTAAAATATTTTTGTTTTCTATCTCAATTAAATTGCAATGAATTCTATTGTTTTAAATGTTTTTAAAATGCACGTATTTGAATAAAATATGCGAGAAGCACGCATGAATATTTAATAAAATTTTGATTTAATCTAAATTTTCTTAATTAATTTTTCTATAGTAGAAAATTACCTGTAATTTTTGGTATAATTTAGCCATTGAATAATATGTAAAGTATTTGTGTCTGACAAATTCAAGATGTCAACTAGTATCAAATAAACAACAATTCTTGTATAAATTTTATTATATACTATCATTGTTATGAAAAACCAACAGATGAATACGAAAGGTTATTATCTAAAGAAAAAGTTGGATATTATCATTGACAAGTAGATAACGTTGACTTGTCTGTTATTTTGTTCTACCTGGATTGTTAATAAATGATAAAAGATAATTATTTGTCTCTTATATTTCGCAAAATTTAGAAGTTTTTTTTTTTTATTATTCCATCGACAATGATAAAATATGTTTTCTTTTATTTGTTAAGTTATATCATGAAACATAATAACATTAAAAATCCTGATGAAAAAAAGAAATAGATCTCTACGAAACTGTTAAGGTAACGGTATGCGGAATCTCTTGAGTGCTAAACCACATCAACACGTTCTTTATTAAATTATAAGAAATTATTTTTTTTTACATGCAAAGCACAAAAAAAATAGAATAATCAGAAAAATTAGTGAAAATGTATTTCTTTTTTTGACTGTTCACTTCGTATAAAAGTTATTCATCTTTTAATCTTTTTTAATTCAGTCGACGATGCAAAATTCTTTTTGTTTTTGTTAGGAGAGATTACCTAAAAGATCTCACAAAAACAAAAAAATATTTTTCAAATATTTTTTGTAATGATAAAGAAATATAAAATGGCTCTTTTTTTCCAATGTTCATACCTTTCAATGGCAATTATCTCTCTTAGAGACATCATTTGAATATGATCAATAAATAAAACGAAAAAATTTGCACCAGCACTTATAATTATTATATTAAGTGAAATTTATTTCTTTAAATATCATTTCATTCAGCATTGGACAAAAATACAGATGCTGTATTGTTTATGAATGCAATAAATATACCTCTGTAAGTGAATAGTTCATTCAAGAGAATAAAATCTTCGACAATATGTAAAATTATCGAACAATAAATCATGAAATCAAGCTGATACTTATTGTTAATAATAAAAAAAGTACTGAAACTTTCAAGTGTAATCGATTTTATCTTTAGGCACAATTAGTTTTGCGAGAAAACGAGAAGATCTCTTGGTATGTCTTGACGAAATGTATTTGTAAATATTGCAAAATGAAAAAGAAAGCCAATCATTCGTAATTTCTCTATCTTTTTAACACAAATAATGCTCGTCGTTCAGATTTGCTTGGAGTCTGGATAGAAGTGTTGGTGAGGATGTCGATCTCATACCCATACATCCACAAGTTTACTCACTGCCGCAACAACAAACCGAGCCTCGTCATTTCTTATATATATAGATCAACAATGATGAAATTATTTGAGGGTGTGTGAGTATGGATTTGAGCCTTCTCTTCACTTTCACCCATCTTCATATCGATACCCTCAAATATCAGGCTAAATATGCATGCGCAGATTTCTAAAACAAAAAGCTCTGTGCACTACTTCTTTCAACATTGTAAAGCATTTTTAATATGGATTCGCACTTTTATTGTAAGCACAGAGACTTTCAATGAAAGAGGACGAGAAGACAAAGATAAGTAGCAATCGATCCAAGACTGATTTTCGTGACGAACATTAACGCGGAAGAATGATATAGATTTTTGAATTACGGGCACCCCGAATTTGGATCGAAGCACCTGTATAATAATTATTGTCCAAGCCAGCTTCATGAAGGCTAATTGAGATCTTACGACGAATGAGTGCTTTACAAGAATCGCCTGTTGTAAGATCAATTAACGTGGCATCACATTGAACAGGATAGCTCTCACGACATGTATCGATTTTTAGGTGAAATTTGTGTTTAGCGCAGCCTCCACTATAGCGAATATTCATGTCAATCGTTTTGGTCTTGGCATTGTAACTTCCACCTTGGATGTATGGCATGTTCTGTGCTAACACTATTGCAAAACAGCATAGAACAATAACAGCAGTGAACACTATTTTCATGATAAACGCTCCTTGTAACTAAGAAATAATGGGTTCAATTGATGGACCTCTGAAATAATTAAAGGTAAAACAAATGATGAAGAAGAAGAAGCAATGAAGATAAGTATCAGGATTAGAAATACTCTCTTCTGCCTCTCTGTAGTGTCAAAAATCGGCAAAGATCCGGTTTTAGGGAGACAGAATCTAAACACATGATGAAATTATGAATTCTAGCTTACTTATTAATGAAAGGAAAGCGAGATGAATAATTGATTGGTTCATCTACTTTGATCAACGAAGATATAGTCAAAAGAGATGACGCTAGTTCATGATCGATGACATAGACATTCTTCAAGAACCATTGAGATATGTTTAGATTTTCATAAAAGTAAATTACGCAACGGATGTGGGTCGATAAAGCCATGTTTCGACCCACGACACTTTGACTTTAAGAAGATCAAATTCGAAGTAGATATACTGATGGTGTTCTCAAAAACCATCCTTGTCTTCTATCTTAACTACAGAATAGAAGATACCGTTACCGACCAATTAAAAGAGGACCTTTCCTTATCCCTAGATTCGCTCGAACAACGGGATATTTTTTTATATAAGAATAGAGAATGTCATTAGTAATATATTCAATTTTTCGTATTATTGAAATAATTCATATTAATAATATTTTTATGACCAATAAATCTAACTTCTATAAGTAATAAGGATAAACATCTTAAGCAATGAACTGAACAAATACGAATAGAAACTTAGCAACTCATTCGATAGTATCGACTAAGACATCGAATAATTAGAACAATATCTAATAATAATTCAAAAGGATTAGCTCGTATTTATCATCAAATTATATATCGATAAAAATCAATATTTGAGTAATACATTATTTTATTAAAAAACAATTACTTAAGATTAATTTACGTTATTTATTTATTAAATAAACTTTCATTATGTGTTATATGAAGAAGAAAATTTTGATGGAACTTTGAAATATTATCAATGTGATCTGAACTATGATAAACAATCTAAACTACCGAATCAAATGCAAACTGCAACTGCATATAATAATAGTGGACTAATTTGCATTTATCAAGAAAAAATCGAAAATTATAACAAGCAGTTGAAAATTATTCATAAACATCTTTCATCTTGTCATCCGTTATGAAGTAATACGTATACGAATACTGATGCAGCATATCAGACATTCGAGAATACTTTTTACTTGTGAAAAACCATTAGAAGTTTATCAGAAATATCTTTCTACTAATCATCCTTTATTGACATCAATTCAATATAACATATCAACGTCATATGATGGTCTGCGTCAGTATAAAAAAGCTTTTAAATATATCGAAATGGCAGTCAATGTTGCACATCATTCATTTGATTTTCTACTTGATTTATTTCTGTAATTTAAATAGTCATTGTCTTACGCATATTACCCTACAATGTCTTGGTCTTCTTAATCCTCATTCGAAGCAATTTGTACCATATCGAGAAAGTATTTTGAAAGATGAAATAGATTATTTTGAACTTCGAATATTAACACCATGCGTTGAAATTCAAAATATTTCTCGTTAAAAATTCGCAGCACATGTATCCTTATATTAGTATACAATTGACTTCCTCACTTTTTTTTTAGTTGTTTACTATTTTGATTAACAATATATTATTCATAAGCTTCTATCTAAACTGAAAATAAGAAACTTTAGTATCAAATTAAGTTTTTGATTACAGTCATTCATCTTATTACATCGCAGAATCATTTTGTTTGAATTATCATTCTCTTTGATATGCAGACTAACATATATTCAAATAAATAAACACACTATGATTGCAATTGTTCTAGACAATAATACAAATCTTGTTTATTAGATTTTTTAATAGAGTTTTTTTCGAAATCAATTATCGATTATGAATAAGAATAGTTTGTTTTATAGAAATAATGATAGCTACTGTCACCATAAAGATGTGTAGGTTGATACGTCGGTAATGAAAACTATCAAGTAGAAGTTGATCCTTTTTTTTGGAAGATTTTATAATTGACATTGTATTATTGTAATAATAGAATACGATAGAATAATAATGGGGACTAGATAAACACAAGAAATATAATTCAAAATATTTATTCATTTTTGTAAAGATGATAGAGACTTAGCTATGTAGAGAAATATATTAGCGAGTCATAAATATCATGTGATACCGCATGTTTGTGTGCACTACTTTTGAATTAAACTAACTGATCGAATATAGGTGTTCTTTCTTTCGTAGTTAATCGATGAAAGCTCAAGTGCCGGTTGCTCATCTATCGTGTTACCGTTGATAGTGATAGTTTTTTGCATTATAGGTAGATCTCAAGATCTTTTTATATCAGTGTAATGCTGTGAAATAGTAAAAGATTAGAGTATCTTGCCTCCTTTGTCAATGGAAAGAAAACAAGATATTTCTATTTATTTTAAGTATTCGGATACAATTATAACAGTATCTGCAATGTATGAGTTACTATTCGTTCAACGATATACTATCACTATTTTTCGATTAAACAGTCACTAATTTGTTCAATTACATACTTTCAATATATCCGCTTAATCTATATAATTATTATGACATACTCATGCACATGAATAAGTTACGCAACTATTTCCGGACTCATCGTAATAAATAATTACTATAGAGTTTATATTTAGAACAGTAAGGCAATCTTTAGAAAAAAAATCAAGATTTATTTTAGACACTTGCACGTTACATATTACTGAAGCGGAAACTTGCTTTGTTTGCACAATTATTAATAGTATCGGATTCAATGAAAGTACGACTGTATCTATCTGAGAAAAAGACAAGATCGTTTTACAGCTTTTAAATATCAGTAAATACCACGCGATACAGATAAAAGAACTTCATGTTCAAAGTATTTGCGATTATTAATGACAGTCATATCAATTGACTTGCAAGCATTTTCTCCTTTCTGATCATTCTTAATGTGTATATTCATTCATTGCTTGATTATTTATTTTAATAAAATATGATGTCATACATTTTTT